GCCACCTGCTGGCTCCTGTTTTAGATTTTAATTTGTCAGAGGGCATGTGCCCTCTCCAGAGAGAAAAAGTAGGAGAGAGAAAGCACTATCCCCCCACCAAGGGCATGGTCATGCCTTAACCCCTTCTCCCCCATTTCCCCCTCCTTTTGGACATGTTGGCATACATTTGTTTAGCAACTGAGTCCAGGACTTGAACCACACAGTTGGCCATTTGGGATTCGGCTCTCTTAACCACCATACCACTGACTGGCCCCCTCATTATTATTTGTTGTTTTTATTTTTTTAATTATTTATTTAATTTATCATTATTATTATTTTTAATTCACCAAAGAGAGAGAGAGGAAAAATGAAAATGCAAGCTGCCAGGTGTGGGATTTGAACTGCAGGTTGGCCATATGAGAATCCATCGCTCCAACCACTACACCCCCTGCTGACTCCTGTTGTTTTTATTTTTGTAATTGTTTATTTATTTTAATTTGTTAGAGGGTGTATGTGCTTGCCAGAGGTAAGGAGGGAACGTGAGAAAACACCCCCCCACACACACACACACACGGGAAATGTAACTCCACAATCCCTTTTCCTCCGTTTCTCCCTTCTTTCGAGATTTTGGGTGCACACATATACTCTCCTGGTGTGTGTTTCAAGTTAGTAGGTCCAGGGCTCAAACCACACAGTCTGTCACATGATATGCAAACCACTTGGACTACCATGTCATCAGCTAGACCCCTCATTTTTTTTTGTTGTTGTTGTTATTTTGTTTTTGATTAATCAATCTAAAAAAAATTTTTTTTTTTTTTGCCATAGGACACATGTGCTCACTGGAGAGAGGGACAAAGTGAGACAGAAAGCAAGAAATCACCCTCCAGGGGGAATGGCCATGCCACAGTCCCTTCTCCATTCTCCTCCTGGGGTTTTGGACATGCACGCACACGTGCTCAGCATATTTTCAAGTCACTAGGTCTTGAAACGTGGTCGACTATGTGAGTCCAGCACCTCAACCATTATGCCACCTGCTGGGCCCCTCATTATCATTTCTGATAGTCTCTTCTGTTAACTGCTCAATCTACCTTCTCCTGATAATGGATCTCCCCCACAAGCCTCCTCAGGTGAGGGGTCCCCCTTTAGTGTCGTGTCTGGTTGCCCTTGGTTTCTGTGTTTCCATACTGGGTCAGGATTCCTGAGTCTTGGCCATTGGCTTAGTGGTAGGACACCTGTGGTTTTTGCTCTTCTGGGCCAGGATTGTCTAGAGGTGTCTCTTCCATGGGTGATCCTCCTACCTGAGCACTGCCACCCTCACCCAGCTGGCCCTCCTAAGACCATGAGCAAGTGGATACAGCCCCTCTCCAGGGGGATTCTTGTTTAACTGAGAATATACTGTGTGTGTGTGTGTGTGTGTGTGTGTGTGTGTGTGTGTGTGTTGGTGGGGGGAGTGTTTATCTCTTTCTTTCTTTCTCTTAAATGTTTGTTTTTTTCCATGAGACAGAGACAGGCACCCCAACAAGGTCCACATGCCATAACCCACCCCCAGCCTTTGCACGCCAGCATGTGCCCACATGCACAAGGAAGCCGCTGGACACAAACCAGGGACCTTCCAGTGTGGGTTCAGTCTCGCATAGTGTAGTGTTTCAGCAGCACCACCAGGGGGCCCCACTCTTTTCCCCATGTTCCTTTGAGGAACCGTGAAGTTCTGGCCTGTGCCCTTAGCGGCTGAGTTTTGCCTGCAGCCTCTGGGCCCTCCCGGTATGCTCATGCTTCCTGGCTGTCCGAGACCCAGAGGGGTGGGGGTGGGGGTGGGGCACCCTTAAGCAATTTCAGACAGGTATTCAGTAAACAAAATTGAATGTTTATTTCTAATTTTCCTCCTAGACTGACTTAATTTAGTAAGAAAAAAAGCTGGAATGTCCAATAAAACAAAAGTAAAGAAACAGAAAATAAGTGTCAAATCTCATCTCCTAGAACTACTATAGACAGTTTTATGTATCTTTCTCTTTTCTTTTTTGCATCCAACACATTTGCATTTTTTTAAAGCAAATGACAAAGACCCAGTTACCCAGCTTTATGTTTTAAACCTAAGCTTAACAGTACGCATTTAAATAATTGTCAAAACTTACTAAGCTCCAGCATTCATGCACAACTAGAAAACATCCTTAATTTATATTAAGCCAGAAATGTATTACCACTAATGCAGTAAGTCTGTCACTACTAAATATTGAAAACACTGAGTTATTTCTGCGGCAGAGACAGGCACCCCAACAAGGTCCACATGCCATAACCCATCCCCAGCCTTTGCACGCCAGCATGTGCCCACGTGCACAAGGAAGCCGCTGGACACAAGCCCTGGCAATGACGCCCTCCTCGCAGGCTGACACTGCTCAGTGCACATTTCAAACACAATGGAAAGCAGATCCACGCTGGTGTTAGTTACAGTCTCGTCCTACACACTAGAGTCATGGCTCACCTGGATGACGTTTAATAAAAAGCAAAGAGCATACAGAGGTTTACAGCAATTTCAAAGACAAAAAAGTGGTCCTATGATGATGTGGTCCCAACAAACCTAAAAAGTCTCTAACAAACAAGGGCTCCGATGAGCTGCTTATAAATACTTTAAGTACAATTATACTGAAAGTCGAGTTCGTTTGAAATCTTCAAAAACTGTTCCTGTGGGACCAGCAGTTAGCGTAATGGCTATGTCACTGGATTCCCATGTAGTTGACCGGGGTTCGAGTCCCAGACTCGGTGGCTTAAACTCACAGCGGGCACGTGTGCGTGCATGCCCAAGAAGGGATTTTGGTGTGGCCATCCCCCCTGGGGGGTGATTTCTTGTTTTTTATCTCTCTGTTTCTCTCTGTCTGGCGAGCGCACATGCCCTGTAGCAAAAAAAAAAAAAAAAAAAATCTTGTTATGTCCCTGTCCCTCGGCACAGGCTGCTGCGACAGTGACCGCCTGCTAGCGGCCAGCATGGAGTTACCTGTTACCCAAGCTCAGCAGCTGCTCCTCACATTTACCGTCAGGGACTCCAGCTGGCCAGCTTCTTCCACTTCCACCCTTCCTTGACCATCTGGACGATTCTCTCGGTGGTGACTTTCCTGCCGTTGACTATCTTGGTAGAAGTTGATACAGATTTGAAGTTGCCCATCCCACTACCACCAAATGACGTGGGAGAGAGAGCAGTGAGGCCCCTGACCTAGTGACCTGAAGTAAACCCTGTATCTAAAGACGGGAACCCACCGAAGGCGGAGAAAAACGACCCCGTGGCCCTGCTTCTGCTTCCTCGAGGTCCCCTGCGATTCCCAAAGAAGTCCTCAAGTGGGTCTTCGAAGAAGTCGAATGAAAATGGGTCCCATCACCACAGAATTCCCGGAAGACATCATCTGGGTTATGGAACGTGAGGCCACACTCGAAGGGGCCACCAGAGTGACCTCCACCGCCTTCGCCATGCAGTCCTTCCTTGCATGTCTGTCACAGAGGTCCTGCTTTTAGTGTCTGATAACACCTCCCACACCTCGGCCACTTGTTTGCATTTCCTCTTCACCTCTTCCTTGTTCTCTGGGCGCCACTTCAATGCCAGTTTCTGGTATGCCTTCTTTAATAATTTTCTTTCTTTTTTCTTCATTTTTATTTTTTTGAGAGGTTTTTGCTATACGGCACGTGCGCTTGCCAGAAAGACAGAGACAGAGAGACAGAAAACAAGAAATAACCCCCCAGGGGGGATGGCCACACCATAATCCCTTCTCCTCCATTCTCCTCTCGGGATCTTGGGTATGCACGCACATGTGAGTTTAAGGTACCTGGTCCGGGACTCGAACTGCGGTCATCTACATGGGAGTTCAGTGACATAGCCATTATGCTAACTGCTGGTATCCCTTCTTCACGTCCTGGGGCAGGCACATCTGCACGCCCAGAGCTCACTGCCGCCTACCGTGTTTACCAGGCCGTGGGAGTGGCCGAGGACGTGGAGGGGCAGGAGGGGCGGCGTGGCCCCGGGCTCCTTGGCGGCGCTGGTGGCAGCGGCGGCACCTCGCGCTTTCCTCATGTGTATCTCTTGAACCTCTAAGATTTAAAGCTGGTTTTGAATAGGTAACACAGGCACGTGGTATAAAATCGAAAAGGTATTAAAGGGAGCCACTCCTCTTCTCTCACCCAATTTTCTTCTCCAGAGACAAGCTCTATTAGCAGACTGTTCTCTGTGTTTACACACATGCATGTGAACACACGTGTATGTGGACACATGTATGCGGAGACATTTTTCTCACAAACAGTTGCTGGACACACTTTATCTTCGCACTCCACCCTTTAGGTCCGAGGTCGGGACCATCACTGTCCCCGGGTTTTCAGATGAGAGAACTGAGGCTGAGAAGGGCCTGGCACCTCCTTGCTGGTGGTTCCGCTGCTGGTCACAACGGCATCAACGGCAGGGCTCCTCACTGAGCGCCCCTCCTCAGGCCACTGCCTGCACCGGGAGCCAGACTCAGTCCTTCCCAGCTTTCGTCCCGTCCTTGATGTCTTAAGACATCAGGCTCTTGAGAGTTAAAAAAAGTTCCAGATTTCTCTTCCCGTTTCCTACCTCTCCCCAAAGGCTGAGCACCGAGTCCAGGTGACTGACTGTAACTCCCTGAGGCAGAGCCCACGGCAACATCTCTGGGTACTACTGAGCCCCTCAGAGCTGTTCTCAATGCTCTGGTCAATGCCTGCCATGTTAAATGGTCAGTTTTCTTCCCCAGATGCAGGCTCAGATAAATAGGCCACAAAGAAAAGAAAAATCAAAGGAGTCATTGTGGAACTAACAGTCCAGACTGTTGCACTGTGTGTGGGTGTGGGTGTGCGATGAGCCCGCTTTGGAAACAATGTAAAGATGACATCTGCCAGTGTTTCTGGAGCATCATAACTGGAGCACCATAACTGGAGCGCTGGTACTGAAGCACTGTTACTGGAGCACTGTTACTGGAACATTGTTACTGGAGCACTATTTTTGAAGCACTGTTACTGGAGCGCTGTTACTGGAGCGCTGTTACTAGAGCATCGTTACTGAAGCATTGTTACTGGAGCGTTGTTAAGTTCATTTATGCTAATGTAACAGCAGCCTGCCTAGGCTTGGCGCCAGGTGTCTTCATGGACTTTGTCTTTACACAAACTGTTCCCTTCAAGAACTTGAGAGGCTAGCAGGGTGGCTGTTACTACTATCCTTTGGTTGTTTTTGTTTTGCTTTAATTAATTAATTAATTAATTAAATTTGCTATAGAGCACGTGCACTCACCAGAGAGAGACAGTGAGAGAGAGGTGAGAAAGCACCCCCAGGGGGAATGATCATGCTGTAGTCTCTTCTCCATTTTTCCCTCGGGATATTTTTGGGCATGGATGCCTACGTGTTCTTCAAGCTGCCAGGTCTGGGACTTAAACTGCACAGTCAGCCATGTGTGATCCATGTGTGATCCAGCTGCCTTAACCACATGCCACTGGCTGGCCTGGGCTGGTTGGTTTGGACAGTTGTGTGTGTGTATTTTCCCAGAGGAAAAGGCTGTGTGTGGACAGCCTGCAGCCCACCAGGCCACCCACCTGCAGAGCACATTAGCCAGCTCTAGGCCTGGCTCCCTGGGCTTTCTGGTCTCTTTCCCCCTCTGTTCTTTGGATCTGAAGCCTCTTCAAGGCTTCAGAGGAAGTGCAGCGAGTTGATCCTCATGTACCGGGAGAAGAGGACGTAGAGGCGGCGGAACCAGAGCAGCTGGCTGCGGTGGCAGGACATGGCTCTCTAGAAGAATCAGAGGACCCGTTAGGGGATTGCACTGGCACGGTTTTGTCACCTCAGGCCTCCTCGCCTGGGGTCCTTCCTGACACTCCTGCCTCCCCTGCAACAGCCTTACTAGCTTCTTCCCGTAATCCATGCCCCTCACTGGACTGGCCTCCAGTCACCATCCCTGCCAGTCTCCACCTGCACCCTGGGACTACAGCAGATGGTGCTAAGGGGAGCTGGATGCCAGGAAGCTGCAGGACAGTCAACACCGTGCAGTGTCTTGACTTTAACAACCCTGTGACTTAGGCACTGTTTTAAAATTTTATTTTAAATAAGTAGATGAAGAAACTCATCGATCTCAAGTAGCTGGTAGAGCTGAGACGGGAACCCAGAGTCTACTTTCTTCACTTTGCTCCAGCCGCACACGTACAGCTCGGACAGGGATGTGTCGTGGGGGTGAGCTCCAACACTGCCCAGGCCTCTCCGAATTAGGTCACCCGGAAAGGCCAGTCCCTGCGGAAAAGGAAGGGAGCAACGCACAGGCAGGGGTGTTTCCCACCTCGTGGGGACTTTTTTCCCTTCTTTAGGAGCACAGCATTTCTCTTCATATCCTTCAAACCCATGCTTTGGCTGCTACGTAGTGCTAGACCACTCACTGCTGAACAGCTCTTATTTTGGCCACTGTGAATTACTGTACATGAGTTTCTGGGGACATCTTTGTTCACCTCCATAGAATACAATTTTAGAAATAAAAGTGACTAGGTTAGAGGTGAGGCAGTAGACGCATAAGTAGCATGACTAGCCCCACATGGGTAAGTCCTAGGCGTGGGAAAATACATGCCCATGATCCTGGCTGCTGAGACTCGGAGTGGGTGGCCTGCACTTAGTCCCCGTGACTATAGGAGGGAGGGCTGTCTCAGTTGGGAGTGCCTTCTCTCTTCATTCTCTCCCTCTGGGTCCTGGACCCAGAGGCTTGAAAATTACAACACACACACACACACACAGAGAGAGAGAGAGAGAGAAATGTTTTGGGGAAAACTTATATAGATAGCTAGATAGAGTAGGTATGAATGTATTGAATTATATAAGTAATAAATGATTATAAAAATGTTTAAAAGCAGGGCCAGCAAGTGGCATAGTGGTTAAAGCATTGGACTTCCACATGGCCAAATGGGATTCGAGTCCCAGACCTGGTGACTTGACCCACGCTAGGCATGTGTGCCTATATGCCCCCAAATCCCAGGAAGACAAAAGCGAAGTGGCCATACCCCCTGGGGGGTGATGTCTCACTTTCCCTCTCACTGCCTTTCTGTGTTTCTCTCCAATAAGCACATATGCTTTATGGCAAAAGCCTGAAAAAAAAAAAAAGTTTAAAAGCAAAACATTAGGGACAGTAGGTGGTGTGGAGGTTAAAGCACCTGGATTCCACACGGTTGACTTCACAGTTCTAGTCCCAGACACGGCACCTTGAAAAACTTGCCAGGCGTGTGTGCGTGCTTGTCCAAAATCACGAGAGAATGGAGGAGAAGGAATTGTGGCATGGCCATCCCCCTGGAGGTGCTTCCTTACTTTCCCTCTCTCTCTGTCTCTCTCCTGCTTTGTAATTTGTTTGTTTTCCCTTAATGTACCAAGAATATAAAAAGTCAGAACAATTTCTGAGAAGATTCTGGCATGTATCGATAATGCTTCTCAGAAGGGATATAGCAATTTCTACGCCTTTTCAGTTAAAGCTCCTAACGCTGGCTTCTATCATTTGATCTCCTCCACTTTGCCAGTAAAAACAAGTTACAGGGGCTGGCAGATGGTGTGGTGGTTAAGGTGCCTGACTGCGGCTCGAGTTCTGGACTTGGTGGTTTGCTTTCTCACTTCTCCTGCCCTTCTCTGGTCAAATTAAAAATAACAATAATAATAAACAAAATTAAATAGTTCTTTTTTAAGAGAATTTTTACTATAGGGCACGTGTGCTTGCTGGAGAGACAGAAAGTGAGAAATCACCCCCCACCCCCGAAAAATGCACAAAATCCTGAGAGAAGAATGGAGAAGAAGGGATTGCAGCATGGTCATTCCCTAGGGGTGATTTCTTGCTTTCTGTCTCTCTGTTTCTCCAGCAAACTCATGCGCCCTATAGCAAAAATCTCTAAAAAAAAGAAATTATCAGGCAGAAGGTGCAGCAGCAGGGTGGCTGAAGAGCCCATGTGGGTAACTCCTTCCAAAGTCAGTATCCCCACAGGCCCTAAGGGAAGCCCATTCATGCATCTACTTCGGCCAGGAGGCCCCCCTTTTATTTCTTTTTAGATTTTTTTGCCATGGGGCGCATGCGCTTGCTGGAGAGAGACAGAGAGGGGAAATGAGAAATAGCCCCCTGGGGGGATGGCCATACTGCAGTCTCTTCAAAATGGAGGCTGGTGGCAGGGAACAAACTGGCAAATAGACTTCTCAGTCAGGACCAAAGCCACAGAGATGATTTGGGATCTGCTAATACTTTTTAAATTTATTTTTTCTTTCTCTATCTGCTAATATTAACTGACACTTTCTCGAGTTGGGTAGGGACCTTTGCTGCCCACAAGAAAACAGCATCCGAGGTAGCTAGAGGACTGTTAAAGGAACTCATCCCCGGCTTAAGCAGCCCTGGCCTATTCAGAGAGATAGTGGACCAGCACTCATATCCTCTGTCAGCAAGGGTCATACTCTAAAAAAAAAAGTTTATTTATTATTACTATTATTATTATTTCTTTTGCTACAGGGCACATGCACTCACCAGAGAGAAAAAGAGGGAAAGTGAGAAAGCAAGCTGCCAGGTCCAGGACTCGAACCCCAGGCAGCCATGTAAGAGTCCAGCATCCCAACCACCATGCTACCTGCAGGTCCAAGACCATACTCAAGGCCTGGGAATCAAATGGCACCTATGTATAGCCAGGAGGGCCCAGTGGTCAGGCAAGCTAGAATAAACCACTCCGACTTTTTGTTTTTAAGATTTTAAAGATGTATGTTTTATTTATTTTTAGTTTTGCTATAGTGTGTGTGGGCTTATCGCAGAGAGAAAGTGAGAAATCACACCTCCTGGGGTGGGAGGGGAGAAGGCCATGCTGCAATCCTTTTTCTCCACTATTCTTTTGGGATTTGGGGTACTCTCACACATGTACCCAGCATGTTTTTCAAGCCATTGGGTCTGGGACTCAAACTGTGCAGTTGGCCATGTGCGATCCAGCCACTTTAACCTGCATGCCACCTGATGGCCCTAACCAAATTCTTAAAAGAACCTTGGTAAAGTTATGCCAGGAGACCTATTTCCCATGGCTATCCCTGCTTCCTGTAGCATGGCTGAGAGTCAGAATCGCTCCAAAATAAAAGATAAAATTAAGTCCTTACAAATTAGTACATGGGAGACTAGTTCCGGCTTGGACAGGTAGCCAAGAAGCCCGGAGAGACATGGAAAAGCTTAAATACGCTTCATAGGTCGGCGAGGTACTAACGACACTTCAGGCTCAACTTAACTCTCCACCCATTTCAGCCAGGAGACTGGGTCTGACTCAGGACTCGGACAGACAGAAGTCCACAAGACCAACTAACATCTGCATAGAAGGGACCCCACTTGGCAGTTTTCACCACCAACTCTGCTCTTAAGTTACAGGGAACTGCTCCATGGGTACACCACACCAACTAATGGAAAAACCCTCCTACCAAGTCAAGTCTCTCTCATATAGGAAACTTCTATTTGAAAAACAAAACGAAACAAAAATGGGCCAAGTGGTGTGGACATTAAGGTGTGGATCCCACATGGCCAACTGGGTGATTCAAGTTCCAGACCTGGAGGCTTGAAAATCATGCACATGTGAGTGCCCAAAATCCTGAGAGGATTTGGGCATTCCCCCTAGGGAGGGTGAGTTCTCTCACACTCACACCCCTATAGGAAAAGAATTTTTTTTTTAGAGAGAGATTTTTGCTATAGGGCACACGCACTTGCCAGAGAGACAGAAAGTGAGAAATCACCCCCCAGGGGGATGGCCACACCACAGTCCCTTCTCCTCCATTCTCCTCTTGGGATCTTGGGCACACATGCACACGTGCCTGGCGTGAGTTTAAGCCACTGGGTTCAGGATGAAAAATGTGATTGACTACGTGGGAGTCCAGTGATGTCACCATTACACCATCTGCTGGTCCCAATATAGCAAAATAATTTGTAATGAAAAATTTTAAAAACTAAAGAAAAAGAAAAGAGGGACCAGCAGTTAGCATAATGGCTATGTCGCTGGACTCCCACGTAGTCGATCACAGTTTGCATCCTGAACCCAGTGGCTTAAACTCACGCCAGGCACGTGTGCATGTGTGCCCAAGATCCCAAGAGGAGAATGGAGGAGAAGGGATTGCAGCATGGCCATACCCCCTTGGGGGTGATTACTCGCTTTCTGTCTCTCTGTCTGTCTCTGTCTGTCTGGCAAGTGCACGTGCCCTATAGCAAAAACCCTGGGGGGGGGGAACAGAGAGAAGTGACTGTATCTCTCGTCTAACATGGGGAATTCTGTCCCTCTCACTCTTCTCCTGTTGTTACCTCGTGCTTCTCGAGTGCTGTTGGCTGGTGCTATCTTGTTCTCTACCTCGGGGCTGAATCCTGTGAGCTGTGAGCCGACTATGGAGGCATGAATGGCACCTGCTACTGTCATGCTGGCACTGCAGTTCTCGCCCAGCAGCAGCGGTGAATTTCACAGTGCTTCTCCCACTCTGCTCCAACGTCCACCCCTCCTGTGGACCAGTTACATTCTACAACGTCCACCCCTCCTGTGGACCAGTTACATTCTACAACGTCCACCCCTCCTGTGGACCAGTTACATTCCATAAGGTCCACCCCTCCTGTGGACCAGTTACATTCTACAACGTCCACCCCTCCTGTGGACCAGTTACATTCTATAAGATCCACCCCCTCCTGTGGACCAGTTACATTCTACAACGTCCACCCCTCCTGTGGACCAGTTACATTCCA